AAGGTGGTACAGAACTCTTGCAGGTGCTCACCTCCCACAGTTGACATGTTACATGGTCTGTTTAAGCTGAGCCAATCATGGGCATGAATGTGCCACAAAGCATCAAAACTTCTCATAAACATTGAGAATCAGAATGAAAATACACTTAGAGGAGTGCTAAAACAAATGGAGTTATTCCAGCAGGAGATCCATCAGTTTATTAAAACACCTCCTTCGCACTCCTTTGCTAGCACGGTTTGTAAAGGGTTCACAGATCACCCCAGACACTTCAAAGAACATCAACGTTCTACACAGCAAAAGACTCCTCTGCCTTCAAGTATAATGAGTGTTTTCTGGTACAAATGCTTTCACACACTGCACTACTGGCACTTAACACCAAATCATCTCACATCTTATTAAATCACAAAGGAAAAGAAGCCTTGTGTGATGACTGCAGAAAATTTAATTTGGTATTAAGGGATACTCTTCTAATTAATTAATGCTTCATTTGGTGGCTAAATTGTTCCCAGTGTAACAACTATAAAAACATGTACCTAGTTGTCATTTTTTTCCTTTAATTCAATACCATACAATCAAAAGCAAAGCAAGATTAGGCTACAAAAGAAATCTGTTGAGCAAAATGAAGATACTAGTTTAAATGTTAATAATAGATGCAGTCATTTTGCCCAGTAAACTTTACAGACTGCATACTCAAACTCCTAAGGAGTTTCTGAGACAATCTGGGAAAACCCTGAGCTATTATCCATCCTTCAACTGGAGAATCCAGCAGTTAAAACACAATAAATTACAATTAAACTAAAACATGCATTTAACACAAAAAGCATGGGTAATACTTAATATATGTCTGTATATTGTTAATCTTCAAAGACCTTCACTTTCAGAAATAGCTGAGGGAATCACAGAGATGTGATCTGGCAAAAAACATTTCTAGAGGGAGAAAAGAAACTCTGAGAAGAGAGAGCCATTAAGGCCACTGAGAACAGACACCACAATGGCCCTGAACTGCCAACAGTCAGAGAGAGGGAGAAAACCCAAAATTTGTTTGTGCCACCTTATTCCCTTTCTTAGCTGCCACTGCCAGAGACAGGCTGTTGGATTTTTGGTAACCCAGTTACAGTACTCTGATGCTCTTACTCTCAAGGATCTAAAAAACACATGTAACTCCTCCTGCATAAGGTAAATATGGTTCTGCAGTCACTCCACTCAGGAATAAGTCTGTCCTACTGCCAGAGATGGACTTCTCAAGGCAGGGGAAGCAGTGCTACAAACACAGCTGTACTTGGACAGCAAGGGAACCTCAAAGGACACAAATCCCCATGTGCCAAGATGTGCAGGTAAGAACAGTGAGGAACCCTGTGCATCCCTCTGCTTTCTGGAAAGACAAGGGAGAACTGGTGGCACCATGAAAAATTCCATTTCAACACACTAGGTACTTGGATACTTATCTTAAAATACTTGCTGGCAGATAATGGAGCCATATTTATTCTGAACTATGTCTAATCAACACCAAGATTACCTTTTATTAGCTGAGCATAAGCAGAGGCAGCAATTTTTAAAAGATTTTTTTCCCCTCAAAATCAGCCTGTGCTCTGTAGTGAACTGCTAACAACAATAAAGGGTGACTGATAATGCATGGAATATTGCAGAATCATCAAGGCACAGATCTGTTCATGTTTTGGTTCTGAACTCTTCCTACAATTACTGATGATCAGTTCTCTCTGATGCTTTAGGGGAACAAAGCTCCTTTGCAGATGAGAAAGCAGAACACTTCTATGCTTGCTTTGACCACCAGTAGTACAAACTTCATTACAGATAACTGCTCATAACTCATGAGAAATTGGCAGTCTGAGTCCTAAACCAAATCTGATCTCATCACAAGTTCTGTGACCCTGCCATTAAGAGGACAGGGCAATAAAGATCCATGCAGAGATGGCTGAAGATTTCAGCTACTGGTCAGTCTCTGCCTGGGCAGCTCAGCTGGAAGAGCAGAGGCTCAGGCAAGCCTTCATTCCCACCAGTGGCAGCTGAGCACATGAGAAATGCTGATAGAGACCCTTCTGCCTATGGAAGTGCAGAGTAGGGAAATGGAGAGGATAGAGCTGTCACCATAAAATGACATAACTAAAAAATGAATCCATGGAAGAGATAAATGACAAAAAGCAGAAGAGTATCATGTTTAACTATGAAAACAAGAACCACTGAAGAAGTTCTATGAACAGTCCTAATGGAGTAACACTTGAAAGTAAACCTGCAGAAAGCATGAGCAGAAGGTCATGTCACACTTCATACACAGAGAGCTGCTGACAGAACAATTGCTGAAGCACTAACTGTACAAAAGGTTACAGAGCAAATGAAAAGCACTGACAACTGCCTGATACCACCTTAATGTGGGCATCAAATAGATTTACAGAGTTCAAGCAAGACACAAGCTGCACCCTGTGACAGAGGCCAAGATTTTCTGCAAAGAGCAGAGCTGGAGTTATGTATACTTGAAATAGAAAAAATTAAACTGATTTTATTTCCCTGGAAGAAGCAACCAGCAATAAGCCTGAAGAGAAGTAATAAATGAATCCTGCTGTGAGAACCAAAATAGAGACGCTTAGAAGTGAAAATTGAATTCAGCAACAGACTTTTATGAATTGGCATCACAAAGCCAGAAAAATCTAACAACTAAAAAAAATTCTAAAAGCAAACAGCAGGAGCAGATAGATCAGAAACAAAAGCACATGACTCCCATGTAATCTCAGGATATATTAATTAAATTTTTCTGGGTTTTCTTTGCTAGAAGCAAACTTAGGAGCACTAGAAAAAAAAGTATGTTCATATTACATGGAAAGAACTAAATATTGGGAAATCATATGTTTGGCCAAATACAAATATATGGTGCTTGTTTGAAAACTGCAAAATTGACAAAATTGCTAAAACTGAACAAAAATATCTGCATCAAAACTATGAAAAACAAAAACGCCAAGCATTCCTATTTGTTACATCAAAACCTCTAAGCTATTACAGAAAAATATAAGTATAAAGACAATTATAAGTTTGGTTTACAGAACCTTGGTTTCACATGAGATGATTGTCCAGAAGTGCAAGTTAAAAAATATTAAATCACATTTTAACTGCATTCTCTTTCCTACTATAGGGTTTCTTTAATTTTTTAGGATATTTTTACCAACAGTAAATTTTTCAAAAGTGCCCAAGCGACGCATTCTCCTGAAATTAGGGCTCAAGTTGTTTCTGCCTATTTGCACCCAAGGCCTTCAAACACTCTTGCCTATTCCTTTACTATTTGCATATAATCTCTCCCCTGCATGGGTGGTGCTGTGTACTTTTTCTCAGGCTAGGCATGTCTGTGTCTATGCACCTACACATACAAATGCATATACATGCAATTCATGCAATATCCACATGCATGTACAAATTCTCCACTTCTCAACACAATTTCTTTGTATCAAAATTCCAAAGGTTTCTTAATACAAACATGCAATTTTATTTTTTTTTTGCATTTAATCTGCAAGAGATCTGTGTCAGCATCTCTTTTGAAATAGATAAAATGTATCAAAGTCAATTCCACATACATGCAGAGTCATCAAATATCAAAGCAGTTGCTCATTCCTTTCTATTTGGCTTCTGCAAATATCAATAACTCTAAGTCAACTATACTACATCAACTATATTGTATGTTCTGTACCACAGTAAAACCAGAAAATAGACTCCAGATGTTTCCTCAATTCCTGCCAAAAACAAAATTTGAAAAAGTGCTGAAAACCAAACAAAGTTGGAAGCTCTGTTGTAGGAAAAAAGGCATAAGGAATCCATAGCTTTGTTACAAGTAAATTTGTTCTGTCTTCACCTACTAGATAAGAAGGGTCAATCCTGAATAAGTGTAAACACAGAAACTGCTACAAACAAAAATTCTCATTTCCTTCCTGTGCATTACTTCTTTAAAACTAAATCTCATATTTTCCACAGGTTTGAGACAGAAAATTTTCAACAACTTTCACTCATTTGCAATATTTGATTTCTGTGAGACTTAAAAGAAGCTTAGGTTTTAGCTACACTGAAAGTAATATTGAGAATGGGACTTAGGACCTAATTTTCCTAATTTGTACTTTTCTCTTGTTAATCAGCATCAAAACAAACTAACTGATACTGCCTAAGTCCTGCATTGTTGAAATGCAAAGTAAAGGAGGTTTGCTTAAATAATCCATCAGAGCAGGAGTGACTGTTGGCTTTGGACTGCATGGGCTGAAGAGTTTTGGGCCCATTGTTTCTCCTTTGCATTTCAAACCAAGCAGCACAGCAGCTTACAAACACCACACAGACACTCTCAAAACCAATCCTCTGTGCAGAGTCTTGAGGGGCAACTCACCTGGCCCCACACATCCTGTAAAGGCCTCTGAACTGATCAAAACATAAGAGGGTAATAAACATTTCTAGAGGCAACTAGGACAACCTAATTTATTTTACAATAAATAAAAATTTGCCTTCAGGATGTATCAATGCTTTCCCTCAGACCCAGTGGAAGTCTAGGCAAATAGTTTATCCTTCATCTGCTGTCCTGATGGGGATAGCAGGAGTGCAAGTTCCAGTGCAAAGCACTCCAAACCTGCTTTTGTGAGCAGGTATTCTTGACAGAAAGAGTGAACAAAAAAAGCTTGGATTTGTCATTATTGTCATATACTTTTTGCCCATATAAAGCTTGCTACAGGATATACTTTAATGAACTGCTTAATATCAATATATACTCTTAACTTAGGAGTAGTGAACAAAATAATGGAGAATTTGAAACATATGATGACCCTGCCAGGTCTCTTGTTTTTCAGCAGGATACATGACAGCCCTAAATCAGAACCCACTCAGTCCTGTACTTCACCATACCCAGTCTCTTGGACCAATGCAGTCACGAGAAAATACTACAGTTCCCAAAAGCATAGCTGAGCCTGGACTCCAGTCAGGATACACTGAACTGTGAGGAGGAGCACAAGTGGACATTTTACCTGCATAGCACTCTTTCCCAGCTTAACCACCTCGAACAGGGTGACAGGGTCCCCTTCTCCATTCTGCTGCGGGTGGCCGTTGGCTCTCCCACGACTCGCCCCTCGGGCTCCAGCGTCGGAACGCCCCTTGTCCGCTGGGGACTTGCGGGGTTTCTTCGTGGCAGACTGGGCAAAGAAAACCAGCAGAGGGAAAGTTTATTCTAGCTGCATCTGAAATCACCCAGGGTTTCTTTATACACCCAGATTTTCTTCATAATCCATAAGCATTACATGGTTACACCCTCACACACATTGATACACACAAAGATCATGGATGAGCCAGGCTGGAAGGTGTCTCCAGTCTGACCTCCTGCTCAAAGCAGGGTCGGCTAGGAAAATAAACCAGGACTTGATCCAGTCAGGTACATATAATTCTATTTTTCAGTAGTTGTTGAGGGACTATTTAAAAGCCACTGCCATGCCAAGGTAAGTAGTGGTCACCCCAAGACAGTGGTGAAGTCCCAGTGCAGGAGTACTTGTTGATGTCAGTCCCTGGATGAGTCTCACATAGACATTGAGAATAACTGGTGATCTTAACTAATGATCTAAGACAGTAAGTTATTAAAAATACATTTGCCACATTAACATTCATTTTCTATATTTTCATACAACTTTTATAAGAAACTGTGTACATAGTCAGCTCTTCAACTCAAATCACCAAATTTGTACAGCCAGATTTAGTAGATCACCATAACAGCCTCTTGCTTCAAAATTTTATGAGTTAAAACATTTTCCCTTTGAGTCTAAATTACTTAATGTAAATTTTCTCTCTGTTCTTCAAGATTTTAATCAGGTGGTATAGACACCACCTGTCAAGACTCACCTACTGAACACTTTGCTCTGAATTTAAGTCACTCGTGAAACAGACAGAAAAAAAAATCTGGGGAAAAGAACATCAGATTTCTTACTTCCATATTCTTTTCTTTCTCCCTACTGTGAGGCAAACAAAAGCAAAATCTGCTGTTTTCCACAGAACAATGAAACTATTGTGAGGGATTATGTTAAAGAAAACAACACACAAGCAACTCAAAGACTAAATTTTGGACAATATTCTCATGGCACCGTTTACTCAAGTATACTGTCAGCTGAGTTTCTATTAATGCTTTTAGTAAAGAACACAAAGTCAACATTTTCAGTTGCATATTACAGCACAGACACATTGAGAATTTTCCTGCAGAGGAAAGGGATCTAATTTCTGGCAGAGCTGGTAGAAGAGGGCCCTGCAAGTCCAGCTTTCCCCATGCTTTAAAAGGGATCACTGCTTTAAAAGGGGTGGAGCCAGAGGGCTGAAGCAAAGGGCAAGGTAGAGTGCAACTGCCTCTTGCAAATATTCAATTAAGGACTTGCATACAAGTACAAGCTGGAAAGCTTAAAATAATGGTACAATCTCTGTGAAGTTTTTTGGATAACATTTGCACTTAGGATCAAGAGTATCTCCCTCAATGAATTTTTAAATATGTGCAAAGCTGCTTGTAACAGTAAGTATATTATCAACATATGAAATGTTTAAGTTCTACTGAGCTTGAAAGAAACATGTGATCACTATTTATTAAAATGGGAAAGAATTAGAAGTAAATTGACTCTTTGGAGAGATATAATCCATACACTTATTCTGTCTGGGAGACAGTAAGTACTTCATCTAGCTACAAGGACTGCTAAATGAAAGCTTGAATGCAAACCCATGCCCTCCACAGAAACCAATGCAAGCCCCCTTAGACAGTTTTTCTCAACATGTAATTGAAAGAGAGGCATTAAATGCTGCAAGAACAAAAGGAAAATACGTAAGAGATGGATGTGAAATGCACATATCCAAAGCTACCTTGGTAGTGAAAGCAATGAGAAAAGCCACCTGTTTGAGTACCTGAGCATGAGTACTACAGACACAGGCTCCAAATGTGGAATCACTGGGCATGTAAATGCCCAGTTTAAATTCCCTTTGTCAGGTATCCTGGGAAAAGGAGGTGATTTGACCAAGGCTCCCAGTCTGAAATGGGAGAGTGAGATCACCACCGAGCCCTCAGAAGAGGTACAGAAATGACTGACACATGTACTTCTGACAAGTACTGGGTAAAGCCAGGTTCTTCAGATCCAAGTAAATACCTCAATATCCTGGCCCTGAATTAGCACCAGATATATTACTGAGTCTATCTGAATAAATTTTTTCTTTGGTGTAGACTTTCTTTTGACAATGAGAACATCTCTCAGAGCGGAGAAAAATCTTGCATCTAACAAAAGCCATTGTGTATCCAAGCTGGGGTAGCAAAACCCAGATGCAGGATCTGTACTGAATCCTGCCTCTAGAGACAAAACCAGTAGACAGGATGCTCCACTCAAGACTGAAGAAAACCCCAAAAGTGAACTTTGAGATAGGCAAGGATTAACACTGTCTTCAGGTGGAAAGGCACTAGTGAGAGGGCATCCACCCCTCAGCACTTCCACCCAGCAGGCATCTGGCAGGAAGCCCAAGCTCAATCTCACTCCAGAGTGTGAAGATAAAACAAAGTCATAGATAAGTCCCCCAGCAACTGCCTTGTGCTCTGAAGTTTTGCAAGCACAAAGCACATGGCAGTCCCTTAGTCATTAACACACAATATTACAATGCAGTTGTCAAACATTATTTGCACATAATGTCTCTGAATTTACAGCAAGAAACTTTGCAGGCCATGTTGACAGGCTTGAGCTTCCTACAGGTTCCTGTCTCTGAGCACAAAGTCCAGTAGGAAATTCTACTTCAAAGAGACCAAGGAGCCACTGGAACAATCTCCCCAGGGAATCTGGGGCTTCCTCAACATTGTACAATTCAGATTCAGCTGGACAGGCTGCTAGGGCATCTTGTCTAGGCTGTGTTTTTGCCAGACAAGATTGAACCAAATGATGTGTGAGGTCCCTTCCAACCTGGTATTCTATGATTCTATCCTAGGATGGAGACATCCTCCACCACCACCAGAGCAAGTGAAGGAAAAGACAGGACTGGTACATCTGCAGAAACACAGAGAAGACTCACTCATGATACAGAGCATCTGTGGCATATCTCCAAAGGCACTTGCTCTTGGAAGTGGAGTTGCAAAAGCTACAAATCTAAAAATTATGTTTGGCTTTGAGGATACCAGGCACAGGTAACTGTGCATCCCAGAAAAGAGACACAAGCACTCACAGGAAAGGGTGATCCTTCTGCAAAAAACAAAGAAACCTTTTCTCCAACACCATGAAGAGCTTCCACACAGAAACAGCCCTGCTCAAGAACGAGTGTGGCCCAGTAAACCTGCCAGACTATCACTGACAACTGTAAAATGAGATGTTTCCTAAGATCAGAGTGAATTTGCAGCAGGGCTGCTCCCATGGATCCAATGCTCATCAAGACACAGGAAAAACAGAGCAAAAATTGTGATTATTGCACACCATTTTACAGCTTTGAACCAGAAAGTCCCCCCCTGAAGTGGGTAGGACTGCCAAAGGGAGGGATAAAGCAGCATGAGACAGTAAGAATGCTTGAGGCTTTTTAATCATACCCCACGAAAAGTGCTGCCTGGAGCTGAGAGGCTGCAGCAGTTGCATTTGTGATTTCACTCCAAAACACCAGGACAGCTGGGCTGGTGTGCTGTCAAAATGGACTGAGGTGCCAAATGAAAACAGAAATTACTGATGACTTTTCAAATTTGTGACAACAAAAGCTAAGGGTTTATATACACCAGCATTAGGAAATTCAGAAGTTCCAGAATATGCCACAAAACGGCCATATTGACTGTCACATACCTCACCTGTTGCTTTAAGACTTAAATGAATGCAAACAGGAAACAAAATACTCACCTTGACTGCAATTAAACTAAAATGGTGGCAGTTCAGGATTTTGCAACAAATTAGCTACACAATAACTTTTCCTTTCATGTCTTTAAAATTACTGTGAAGAAAATAGTGACCCACATTTGTAAAATCAAGTAATACAGTGAAAATTGATTCACACACTATCAAAAAAAAAGTAAAAGTGGCTTGACATTTTCCATTAACTTTCCCCAAGCTGATGTGATGCACTTCATGAAGAAATGAAGGCAGTGAGAGTCCTAGAGTCAGTAACTCCTCCTAACACACCACCTGAACACAATCACCTGTATGTGCATTCCCACCATGAGTCATTTAGAGGAATGAATACCCCACTTCCCTGGGAAGGTGGGAGAAGCTTTTTAACCTCCACTTGAGTAAACTGAAGAACTTGCCTCTCCAAGGCACCAGCCCCTCAAGAAGCCCTGTGTTATAAGCTTTTGTTAAATGGAAGAATGGCAATGCCTGAGGTCTTCATGAGTTAATCCGGATTAAAAAACCACTATGACACATTTCATACCATCTTCATGGTAATCTAGGGAGAAGGTTCTTGGATTCCCACAGTCCTGTGGATTGTTTTGGTCATAGAAACAAACAAGGTGCTCCCTGTGGAAAGTCTCATCCTGCAAATAAAGAGAGGTGCAGGTCCCCTAACACCCAATGCACCCAGAGTTGCTTCAGCTGCAGCACTTGAAGTTTAGGACAAAAAAAGCAGAGGCAGTGTTGGGAGTGGTGGTGCTATTTTTCACCCTTATTTAGAAATCTATCAAGAACTCTCAAAGTCATCTTAAAGAGTCAAGAGAGTATGCTGTAAATACTTGAATAATTTCAATTCTTCTAGCTGAGACATTTACTACCAAAAAAGACTATTTCCACAGAAAAATGAAGAATATATTAGATTGCCAAAAATACAAGAACCATCCAATCAAAAGCTTAAAAGGAAAACATCTAATGCTACAGGTAACAGGATAGAAAAGTCTTCACAAAGCTGCTATAGATGCACTGCATTTCTACTGAACTGCAGACTCCCTTCAGTTGTAAGGGACAGACCTAAATCATCAAGCAGGCAAGCTGAAACAGGACACTGATGTAAATCACACCAACCACAAACCTCCACTGTATGAAAAGAAATTCTTCTAAGAGGATTCCTCCCTGTTATTAATCAGGACACGTATGACTTGGAACTAGAAGCAAAATTCAATCCCCTGCTGTATCTAACATCTATACTGCAAGATTAAATAAGGCCAGGAATCTGCTGCAATGTTAAAATTCCCCATATGAATGCAAAGATAAGGCATTGTGGTCTGTCTCCTCCATACCAAAAACTACAAAAGGACCTGAAAGCAAAATTGTACAGGCTTTGCTTGGCACAAAAGCATCAGAAGTGCCTTGTTTCATCTTGCTTTAAGTGGAGAAAGATACACTGTGGCTCTGAGTATGGGATGAGAGAGAAACCAGCAGAGATTCCCAAATTGCCACCTCTGGAACAGACAAACTGATGTTTCTCCTGTCCTCTGAATTAGAGATTAAATCTGTCTACTCCACCTTTGAATCTGAAACACAGCCAGGGATCTCTCACTGCCTCAACCTCCAGCAGCTGAGGTTTAAACCAAGCTGTTCTGAGCTCCTGGGAAAGTGAGGCCAGGTAGTTTAAAATAAAGCATGCCAACAATGCTGAACGGAGTGTTGATCCAAAAGAGGAGACAAAAAAGGATGGGTAAATAACTGATCTGAGCTCATTGATGTGAATGCTACACTGCACCATAAGCCCTTGGGCTTTCCAATCCCCTGTGCAGAGCAGGGGAGCACATCCATACCCATGTATTTCAATAATGCAGCAGACAGAGAGGGCACTTTGGCCAATATCACTCAGGAACTTCAAGGAGAGGACTGTTAGAAGTCACTCCTTAAACAGAATTTGTTACATTCTATTCCCAGAATTGATTAAATACATCCCCAGCCAGTTGTGATGCTGTATCCTCACACACAGCATCACAAACATGTGCACACAATATGCCACTAGCTGGACAGGCTCAGCTCTTGGCCAGGCCCTCCATGGGCATCTCTGTGAGACTCAGGGCTTAGAAGGGCACGTGGCCAACAGGCAGCCCCAGCCACTGGAGCAGGACATGGTGCAGCCCCTGCTCAGCTCACAGCAAGGGCCAGGGAGCTCAGGACAGTCAGGGTAGATTCTGAGAGCTATTCTGCAACACCAATGCACTTCATCTATTGGCAAATTGACTGTCTAGTCTGCTCAGCCAAGTAGTCATTAGAACAGTGGACAGAAGTGAAGGGGCTACTTGAAATGCAGTGTTTTAGAATGGAGTGACTTGGATTGAAAGGAAATCTTAAAGATCAACTAGTTCCAAGTGGTTTAGAAAGTGAAGGTACCCCCAAAGCATTACAGTTCTCTGTGAACTGAAGAGGTATTTGCTACAAAAGGCAGTTTTTCAAATGAGCACCATCTTCTTACAAAGGTCTCAAATCTGCAGAGATTGTCTTTCTTTGGAAAACCCTCTTGTAGTAGCGTATTTTTCTGATAAAAGGTCAAGTCCATTCTGTGACACTCAGCAGAAACCTGTTTAAAATACATACATATATTTAATGGAATATATTCTATGCAGCTCTGTAATAGGATGATGCAGCACAAAGTAAAGTCCCTTTCCAAGAGGTCACTATGTTTATGGCAGATGTGCCACTGTAGCTGTGATGGCCTAAGGACATAAGCAAATCAGCATTTGCTGGAAGAGATTAAATCTTATTAGAACATAATATTTAAGTTATAAAAAAATCCCAGCCACAGAAATCAGAAAAGCCTTTGGGCTACCATTCTTCAGATCTACAACAGAAATTAAAATCATCTAAGCTAAATCTAATCTAAGTTAAGAAAAACATTTCTGAACTTAACTAAACCTTTTAATCTGTTGCACATCTGAAAGTAAAGGTAGGTGGTACCTGTGAAGGAAACAAAAACCATGGTAGTGAAGAGCTGGGGGGGAAATGTCAGAGCTGCACCTCCTGTAAGAACCAGGCATTTTGCCTGAGAGAAGTGGCTGGGCTGGCAACATGGTTTAATAAAGCAATACAATTATCAAGTCCCTGGCTTTTAACATCAAATAATGCTGTAAATTCAATTGCCTAGATTAGCCTTTCCAAAGGTTTTGCATCTCTCTTCTAGTCATTAGAGTGGCTTTTTGCTTTTGGGGCTTTTTTCTTTTTTTTTAGAAGAACAAAGGGAGAAATTTATCATGAAGTAGAATGGAATAGGCACCTAAGAGAGGCTGTGCAGTCTCCAGCCTTGGTAGCTTTCAAAATCAAACTGGAAAAGCCATGAGCAGCGTGGTCTGATCCCAAAGCTGACCCCACTCTGACTAGGAGGCTGCAATGAGATCTGCTGAGTCCCATCCCATAAACAACCATATTGCTTTTCCTCTCTGACACTCTTCCAGTCCTAATGTACACTTTCCTGAGATTTTGGGATGGAGGTCAAAAGGGAAAGTAGAACTGAGCAAATTCTTCCAAATTTTGACGAACTACAGTTTTATAAAGGATGCTGTATTTGTTTCATTCTCTATTTTCTTCCTCTAAGATGCAAGACTGGATTTGGAGGTGTTTGACTCCTCTTAAGCATTAAGATAAAGCTTCAGAATTCCCCCTGATAACCCTGAGGTCTTGCTCCTTATCAGCAGCAGTCAGCTCACAGCCCATGCTTGGTGACTGAAGCAATGGCTGCTGCCTCTGCATGTTCATCACTTGACAATCACACCTAATGAGCCTGGGGTCGTCCTAAGCAAAATGAGCAATTCCTCCCCTAGAAACCCGACAGCAGGACCAGCAGAGTGCTTCAGCAAATGTTCCCATAGGAGCTACTAATAAAGTGTAGCAGAGGAATGAGAAATGCTTTTTGTAACATTCACCTTTGCCTTCCAGTGGGTATGTGCTGGGTACAAAATACCCCGGTGTTGCTATAACTTGAGGTTGTATATTGTGACAACATTCTGGGTTAGCAATCAGGTTACACCAGCCTTTTTTTTATTAGAGTTACAAAACCCCATAGATTTGCTAATTAAATATTCATTTTATCCTTTGCTTACAAACTATGTAAACAGATAAGCTGTTCTCTTTAAGCACTTCTTTAAGGCATGCTCTGAAGAGGCTTCATGTTCATGAGCAAATCCATTTATCTGATGAAGAACATATGCATCATGGGAAAGTGTTTGAAAGCTTTCAAAAAGGAAGACAACGTGCCCAGAAAACACCAGGATTGAAAATGTTGGCACCTTCCTTGAGTCCAGAGACTGTGATGCAAATTGAAAACCAACAGGAAAGAGGAATTTGCTCCAGCTTGGCCAGCATGCCTGAAAGTAACACATGGATCTGTCCATTCTTACATTCTCACCAAGCCCATGGTTTGAGGTAAGCCTTAGGATCAAAGCCCTCAGGGCTAAAAAAAAAATCATCCCCATCTCCTACTGCTATACAGATATATGGCACATTGACATTGTGAGTTTATTCACAGAGCAATGCTAAGAGGTGAATCAAACTCATCAACAACAAACACACGAGTTCCCACCAAGTCTTACTCCACATGGGTACTTCAAGTGATACAGCCAAGGGAACTACACTGATCATCTTCAAGAACCAACATGAAGGACAACATGACACCCAGAACTTGCCCTTTATTTTCCAATAAATTGTCTATTTTATAAAACAGATGAAAATAAAAGAGAAAGCCTCCCTAATACCCATGTAATAGAGAACTGTTTCTGAATGGTCCTACTGATAGGCCAGCAGAGACAAAACAGCCATATCACCTGCTGCACTATGCCAGGGGACACCTTGAAGCCTCCAGTCTACAAATAGAAGGCAGTCCATGTCAGTCACATGACTTTTAAAGGGTTAATAGATTTTCTCAGTAATCTAGTAAATATCATGCTGTAATTCTTCCACTCACATTAAGGGATTATCAGTAATAAAAGGATGGCTAGAATGCCATTTGTCACTTAAAGTCCATTACAACTTTCAAGAAGACAGTGTTGTACTTACTGAGGATATTCTCATATCTGGAAGAATGTTGTAATGACAATAATAACAAAACTGTATTGTTCATGAATGCAGCTAGCAAAAGAAAAATTAATAGCTATTATGACATCATTTTTATGTCCTTTTTTAAAGGACATAAATTTCAAACATTGTTTGCACATCAATTTGATAAATATTTCATACTACAAGTCTTCATAAAGTCTGACATAGGACTCATTAAAAGCCTATTTATGTGACCACAAGCTGATCAGATGAAAAAGAGTCTACAGTCAATTATAAATAGATGCTTAACTAAACAAAAATAATTAAATAGATGCATAACAAAACCAAAATAAATTATACATACTGGCGGCCTGCCGGGACGGCCCCTTTTCCTTTTTCCTTTGACTTCTGCTTCTTCAAGCTCACTGCCAGCATCTGAATGTGCAGTAGTTTCATTTGTAGAATCCCTAGGGGGGGAAAACATTACATAAATTCAAATGATCTGAAGTCAACTAGTAGTCTGTAACTGACCAATTAAATACTTAGTCCTGAGCCAGAAAACAAATGAACAACAAAAAAAGTCAGCATAAAAGGCTTTCCCCATTTACTGTGCAAACCAAGGAAACGAGCATTGCTCATCCTGGCAAAAGGCCTTCCCTTTTCATCAGCTCCAACGTCACTTCATTGACTGGAATCTTGAAATTAATTTTATTTGAAAACACATTACACTTCAAAACTGGCTGTATTAACCAGCACATGCTCAGTTCATCAATCCCACAATGTATTCACTACCAAGAACCTCCTTTTACTCTTTGTAGGTGCTTCTGAGCTGTTCTCAAGGCCCCAAGAGCAATGTGGAGTCCAAGCCAGCTGTGTCATCATTAGAACAGTCACAAGGCTCCACACAGCTCTCAGTCACACCCCAAGACAAGGGCTTGGGCAGCTATTGATAAAGAGGATTCATGCTGACTGTGAGGCCCAAGGCCAAAAACTCCCTTTCATCTGAAGACATTGATAATTTTTGCAATTAGAAAAATATTTTCACTTGTACAATGGAAAAGCTTTGCAATTGCTCAACTCCTGTTAGCAGAGAAGCCCAAACAATAATTTGTCATTTGTTGCCATTTCAGATTTAAGACCATGATAAGAAAAAAATTCCCCCTAATTTTCCCCACCCCTCCCAGCCAGAGGCACAGGTACTTCTCTGCCTTCTAAACACACATGGCTGCTTGAAGAAACTCAGATTGTAATTGATCTTTTGAGGTATTAGACCTTGCCCAAGAGCAGCTCACATGCAAAACCATACCTGGGCTTTATTTCTACTGTGCAAGACCACCAGTGCACTAGATCTTTATAAATTTTCATTTGCAAATAAAAATGTCCTAGATTACTCAAGGATGGGTCAAGTGTACTTATAATCATAGACTTCTTTAAATCCAAAATCATTTCCTTGAAGTGAAAGGAGTTCAGCTGCTGTGTTACTTGTGCAAAGGGAAGGTGAAAACCAGACCTATTCCATATTTTATAGAGCCTCACACATCAACAGCAGCAGAAGTGATCTGCTCTAGGGAAACTGAGAAGCTCCAGCAAGCAAAGATCTACACAGATCTTCCACCTTGTCTGAGGCCTATTCTGTATTTTGCTTTATAGACCAGGAATACTTTACAGATTTGTTGTATCACCAAGAAAGCTATTTAATAATGCAGAAAGATATTATTGAATCCTAACTGGGAATATTCTCATCCTCCTCTTTACTGAAATTACTGTATTGTCTAGGTCTGCTCTCACTCAAATAATTCTGGAGAACTATGATGAATTTCTAATATTAAGACATTGTTTTCCAACCTTTTCCTATTTGCAAGCACAAAACCACCAAGGGGTCCACAGAATCTTTTACAAAAGCCAGAATGCAGAACATCTACAAATCTTTTACTGAAATTAATTTCAGTGGATTATCTCTAAATACTCCATATACCCCAGAAAATCAGGCACCCTAGATGAAAAACCACTATTCAAGTGCATTTGAGTTCACAAATTACACACTTGTAATGCAGTACCTCTACAAAATATTTAAAATGCAGCTTTGTTGTGATACAATTAAAAAGCAGCTTTTGCACTTCATAAAATATGAAACTTGAAAAACTTGCCATCAAGCTATGTATTTAGAAAAACACCCCAAAATGTAAACAGTCTAAAATGAAATAAAAGATACCCCAAACAGAGTTGAAAATTGTTTGGTAGATTAGGGCCACAGCAGAGGAAAGCAATGCAGTAAATACAGCTGAAAACATGCTCATGTAGATGGATGTCTCCAGCCTTTACTCAAATACCTCAGCACACTGCAAGTCAATTTGACAAAAATGCACACTGGCTCACAATGGCAATTTTAATAGAATCTGAATACAGAAGTAAAGAACCCCATAAAAATATTTGCTCCCTTCTGTTGCTGCAGAGAAATTAAAACCGTTCTCTATTGCTTTCTCTGGAAAAAAAAAGAAAAAACAAAAAAAAACCAACCCAAAGCTTTTCTCTCTGGTTTGCTCAGATCCTTACTGGAAAAGTTCCAGGCATGGTGTCTATCTAAACAATACCCCCATTCCTGGGGAACACTGTGCTTTGCTAACTTAGAAACCTGCACCCCTAGGATCATCAGGATAAAGATTTCTCTCTACTAAAACCAGATTCAGCAATCCTCCTAGGCAAACACCTCAAATCTTTCCCTTGAAACACCAGAGCTATATAAATAAATTAAACTCTACTACTACTTCACATGCATCTACTCCACAGAGAATTGGACTTTCTGCCGATTTACAGCCTCAGTCCAGCCTAGCAAAACCTCCAGATAAATCTGTCGATTTAGCTCTGGAAATTTCAAATCTTTCCTAACACTGCATATGGAAGGAACAGTTAAGTTATTAACCACCTTCTAATCTTTGCCTTAAATAGACTGTTGCCTCAAACCTGATTCTCTTAATATTCTTCTGGTAAAACTTCCCTGATTTGCTGGAAGTCTCTTTGGCCATTTCCCTTTCTGGGAAAAGCTCAGTAAATTAGTACTAAGGGTGAGATTCAGCTAATCTAAATTAAATTAGAGACATATGCAATGCAGAAAACCTTAATGTACAAAATACCTCACACTAGGATCAGTGCCCAAAACTGGTCAGACAGTTGAAGTCTTATAAATTTTGTTTTCTCTCCATTGATGATAAGCTGATCAAGACAAGCAGCTTAAATATAAATGTTTCAAATTAAACAAAATAATTCTCACCCTAACAACATGTCAGGAAGAAAGGAAACTTTTCCAGCAAGAATGCATGTAAGGAGCAAGGGGAAAACATCAAAAACTGGGTTCCCTTCAATGCTCACATTCTTTGGAGTAGGGAGACAAGATCAAGGACAACCTCCAGTCTTTAGCTGGTTTCATATTAAAATAAACATCATTTCAAGCAGCAAGGAATTCTGTTTGAATAATCCAGCTCCTGCACACCAAGGTCCTTCCAGGGTGGCTGTGAGCCCTTCCAGTTTGGGAGGTAGTGCCTCTTGCTTCTGTCCCAGGCTTGCAGCTGCTCTGGGTACACACACGTGCCCCTTTTCCTCTTCTTTCTGCACTCAGAGCAGCAGTACAGCATCTCCTGACTGCCTGCAGTCCTGTCAGTTTGTAACACTCTGAGAGAAGCAGCTGGCCAGCATCCATCTCCCTCATTCCCTACACATGTCACAGAACTGCTAAGAAGTAATTTATCTGGTGGCAATTATCCACATCTTAATAGACCAGAATGATCCCATCCTCATTCCACGTGTGTGTGGCACCTGAGGGGGAAACTTGGCCTGAGTCATAATTTATCCTTCCTGAAGCTGTTGTGAGGGAAGAGAATCTGGGCCTAAGGAAACCTGCCTCATCTGAGGAGAGGTGGAAGTGCCTAAAGCTAAACCTTTCCTCTCCAAGACTCCTTTGAAATGACAGGGACCTGAGAGAATTTGACAGAGGTGGGAGGCACCTACGAGAGCAGAGCAAAGGAGACAAGTGATACCCCCTTTTCAGGGCTCAGGTATACTCTGCTTTGCTTTCTGGTTTCTGTGGTCACTAAAGCATCCTAGAAAAGTGGCAGCAACTCCAGAATCCCTTCTAAAAACTCCAGATATTATTCCAGAGTTATAATTACTAACCCTTGAAGCTATTCATGTTAATGAAGAATTACCAGATTACTGGACAGCCCTTTACCACGTCATGCTCCTGAGAAACATGTTTCCATTAACACAGCAAATTTCACATCTCTGTAACACAAACTAAAATGAATTTACCTTTCTTCTACTGTTTCACAAAGTCCTAGCTATAGCATTTATATACCATGCCCCTTTAAAAGCACACCACAGCAAAAACCTGTGTTTATGTATCAGGTTTAGTAAAAAAAAGAACTAAAACACTTCTATAAGCTTTTATAGCTGTTGCTGAGGGGCTCAACATTCTGGCAGAGATAAATCCAGTAATTGCTATCACCACATTCAGCCTTGTGAAAAAAAGCATTCATGAAGAAAAATGGCTAAATGCACAGGCTCATGAATCATGAATCAGTTCTCATGGCTGATCTTCAAAAATCTAAGGAGCAAACATGAGTCATGCCATTGAGAGAAGATTCATACCTGTCCATCACACAGATGGAATACACCAGATGCTTTCTCAGAACATCTGAAACACCAATAAGTGAAATCCTGTCTTCACTGTGTTCTGAAGCCACTTCTATCAATCTAGAAAGGTTAAAGATTCTCCTTTCATGTTCCCTCAACAAAGAAGAATTTGGGAGGGAATATATGATATGGTCCTATTGGCTTTTGGATTGTTTGTTTAAAGAGGGTAGCCAAAAAGATTACAAAACATTACAAAAAAGAAGTAGAAAATAAGCACAGGAATGGGAGATAATAATAATCCTTCAGATAATTCATTTAAGAGCTAGAAAGGAAACCTTGATGTTCTGTGTGGAACTGAACTGTGTCTTCCCAAATCTGTAAATGTGTGTAGCTAATACCCCCTAGCCCAAAAATTGTTTCAGGTTTCCTCACCCTTACCCAGCACTCTTCCTGATGGAAGCCTGACTAAGACTTTCTGAATTAGAATTTATCACTTTCTTTGATACTTCATCCACACTAGCCAATGTTCTGAGCCCTCAGGAGAGTCCCAAAACCTCTATGTGCAAATCATGCTGAGTTCTTTGAAAATGAAAGATCTAATCTTGCTCATAAGCAATTAAAACTACATGTATTGTTGAGGATGACATTTCACCAACACTTCATAGAGTAGCATTAATTATTCCCAACTTTACCAGAAAAAACAACATGAATATTTTCTTACACTCTTTGATTTGCTTAAAACCAGTGGCTCTGACTAAAGAATATTTATAGAATATTTAACATCCCTCAGGTTTTTCAGCAGGTGTGTTGAGTTACCAAATCCATTAATATACACTTTTTAACCTTAAACTCTGTGATATTCCATTCACTTTTTAAGTCCATCTGGATTCTTTAAGCGGGAATGCAATTTCCACCACCACAGATTTTCCTAGCTTTTTGTTCTTGGAATATTTCACAAACATTCCCTCACTTCTTGAATGTGGCAATTCCAGGAAATATGAACCAAGAAAACGTTCTTCCACAACTAATCCCTAAGCTAACAAGAACCCCCTCAGGCTGACACTCCCCCTCAGTGCTGCCCATCAAGGTCATCCCCAGCTTTAGCCTGTACTCATCCACAATTAATTGTTTTTAAAGCAGTTTTAAAAATACAAGCAAAAACTGTAATGCAAAGCACACTATTATTAAGGTCAGACAAATTTCTTTTCAATTGTCTCAATTGTCCAACCATCCAGTTTCTTAAATAACAGGACTTGAAGTCTTAGCCCGGAATGCCACTCAACCCTGATAAACTCAAGTTCCTTCACACCCTGAGGTCAAAAAAAAAAAAAACCAAAAAAAAAACCCCAAACATTCCTTGAAAAATTAATTTAGATAGTTACCAAATGTACCTGGTGCAGGTGCCTGGCACTGGCAGCAAGGTGGTGACAGAGGGAGCTCTGTGAGGGAATGGTGGGGGGCCGCTCTGTGAGGGGGGACAGCCCTGTGAGGGCATGGGACAGGGGCGGCTCTGTGAGGGGATGGGACAGGGGATGGCCCTGTGAGGGCATGGGACAGGGGATGGCCCTGTGAGGGCATGGGACAGGGGATGGCCCTGTGAGGGCATGGGACAGGGGATGGCCCTGTGAGGGCATGGCGGGGGGAGAGCCCTGGGAGGGGATGGGATCACAGGGGGGCGGCAGGCCTGTGAGGGGATGGGATGGCGGGAGCAGCCCTGTGAGGGGATGGGGGGGGAGTCCTGTGAGGGGATGGGATGGGATGGGGGGTGGCAGCCCTGTGAGGGGATGGGATGGCAGGGGCAGCAGCCCTGTGAGGGGATGGCATGGGATGGGATGGCGGGGGTGGCAGCCCTGTGAGGGGATGGGATGGGGGGCGGCAGACCTGTGAGGGGATGGGATGGCGGGGGGAGCCCTGTGAGGGGATGGGATCGCGGGGGGAGCCCTGTGAGGGGATGGGATGGGATGGGATGGCGGGGGCAGCTGTGTGAGGGGATGGGATGGCGGGGGGTGGCAGCCCTGTGAGGGGATGGGATGGGATGGCGGGGGGTGGCAGCCCTGTGAGGGGATGGGATGGCAGGGGGCGGCAGCACTGTGAGGGGATGGGATGGGGGGGCGGCAGCCCTGTGAGGGGATGGGATGGGATGGGGGGCAGCAGCCCTGTGAGGGGATGGGATGGGATGGGGGGGGGGGGGTGGCAGCCCTGTGAGGGGATGGGATGGGATGGGGGGCGGCAGCCCTGTGAGGGGATGGGATGGGATGGGGGGCGGCAGCCCTGTGAGGGGATGGGATGGGATGGGGGGCAGCAGCCCTGTGAGGGGATGGGATGGGATGGGGGGCGGCAGCCCTGTGAGGGGATGGGATGGGATGGGGGGCGGCAGCCCTGTGAGGGCATGGCGGGGGGCGGCAGCCCTGTGAGGGCATGGCGGGGAGAAGAGGGTCCATTGAAGGGAGCTGGAGTGGGCTGGGCACCCCCACTGGGGCATGAGGGGGTAGGGTGGGATGAAAGATTGAAGGCGAACTCGGGCAGAGGTAGAAGGAACACCTGGTAGGTTTTGCCTTTGTTTCTCACCATCATCCAAATCCTTTTTAATTAGCAATAAATTAATTTTCTCCAAGCCAAGCCCATTTGGTCTGGTTTGATTTCCCTGTCATTACCTCACCCCATGAGCTTCCTCACTTTGTGTGCTCTCCCTGTCCTGTGAAGAAAGGAGCAGGTTCCAGTCTCTAAAATTCCTTCTTAACTCTGATTTCCTCTCCAGCTTCTCCTGTTATAGACTTTCACTCTGTTCTTCCCAGTAGCTCACTTTATCCAAGCACAGCCATGTTCCCATGTGCATTAACCATTCCTATTTCCCAGCAGGACCAAAACATGTTCATGACACTTGCTATCTTCAACTGCAGCAGGCAAAGGCTTTTTGCACAATAAATTCAGCTCATTGTAAGAAAATACACAACTGGAATATACAATATGGTCCATTATGACCAAATCCAATCCATGCTGCTGAAATCTCACAACATTCAGAAGCATAAAAGTAGCAAAGACCTTGTTTTGCTTTGCACAGCAAAGTTAAGTCTCCATACATAGAAAGAAATATTTTTTAGATTAAGTGTTTTGCAGTTTTTTTACACAGTTTCTCAGCACATGAAAACACCGGAGGCCTGGAACAGTCACACTAACATGCACTTCTTCCAAGCTTGTGTTTTATCCTCACAATCACCTCTCTGTTTACTTCAACCTTTCTAAAAGCCAAGATTTCAAATGTAGAGAGAAGTGTATACTCACTGTAGTACTGGCAAATCTGAAGTAATCATTTTTGCAGCACTCTTGGAAGTAAGAGCTACATAGAACTTCTTCTCAAAGTTATTATAAGACAACTACTTGGAAACTTCTTTCATGAAAAGAATGTCAAAGTCCAGTCTGTAAGAGAGAGAAAAAAATGTTTAGATGTGACTCCAAAATAATAATACATTTGTGTGACTGAATTTTACAAAATAGAAGCTGTGCAAGGGTCTAAGTGCAGCAGGAGGTATTTTAACTTGATGAAACTGAAGTTGTAAATTTAAATAATAAAGTAGACTGCATCTGTGGTGTCACTACACCCACTAGTAACATTTCTCTACCCAAAAGACTAACCAAGGAGTTGACTAATGGCAGCAGATGTGACTTTACCATTAAATAATGGCACAATGTGACAGATTCAATAATCCTCACTGCAATAAAACACAGAACTGCCATCCTAGTCTTCTAGAAAAAGCAAGTTCTGGAGAAACAAAGTAGATTTGTTTCAGTCTCCCTTTTTACAGGTCCTGGGCTAATAGGAAGAGCTGCATGGAGGATTGCAGTTCATCAATGGCAAGGAATACCAAGGACTCAACTGTGTGTTTTTAAAACACAGGATATGTTCAAACTCTTTTACTTAAATATTAATTTCCTCTCGATGGGCACTTTTTCCCTGTGCACTAGCAGCTTTGCACAAGGCAGGAGGAAAATCCAGCCAGGAAGAGCTAACATAAACTGCACCAAACAAACCAGTACAGCATATAAAGTATAACTTCCATCCTACTACACAGACATCCATGTTTATTTACCAACTGTACAGAATGAACAGGCTTTTTTGCCTCTTCATGTTACAGTTCCAATTAGACTCACAGTTGCATACAACTAGTTCTTCCAGTACTTACTACTTTGTGCTACAACAGTTTTACTTACAGTGCCTTATCATGAAATTTACATTTTTTATACCATATAATTAGCGAGCCATTTTGTTGCCAAACACATGTTAACAAACAAAAAGTTGGTTTGGAGCTAAAACCACCACTCCATCATTAATGGTTTCAATGGGCCAATACACCAGGCTGGTGTAAAAGTTCTCCAGTTTTACTATGAGACAGAAGTTAATCTGAGTTCTCCTAGAACAAAAATGTCATATATGCTACTTGTGCTATTTCCATAAGCATTTCTTCATTAAAGACACTGCTCATTACTGTGTTTCAAAGGATAGGATTGCTCCTAACAGGGCAATCACATTCCAGTCCACAACATAAAGCAACCACTTCAGACACTGGTAAGAATTTATCATAAAGAAACACAGCATCAGATCAAATTAAGTTCTGAGTTGACTTCCTATATGAAAAAATAAAGGCAATGTTCAGATCTCTAAAATGGAGAAGTTCACTACAACTGGAACAAGACTGAAGAAAAAAGTTTGTTTTGTTTTTACTCACACAAGCAGTCTCACACACATACATACAAATGCTTATGCTAGCTGGATGTCAAAGGAAACCTATCCATCTTAGACCTTCAGATTAGCTGATTCTAGCAGGATTCATGGCAATCTTACTTTCCAGAAAAGCTTTCTAAAGAAGTTCAAGGAAATTTATGTGTGCTCCAGGTGGGGTATCTTCCACAGACATTTAAGGCATCCTGCACAACTACTATGTGGGATTTCTTTTTTAAATTTTCCTTTTCAACCTAATCACCCTTTCCAACTGCTGGCTGTGCATGCTCAGATGTAATCAGCAGCATTCAGCTGCTCTAGGGAAGTGCTCTCACACACAAGGAAAAGGATACTTGCTCAGAATTAGCTTATTTGAAAAGCAAAGTCCTAACTCAGAAGTATGGAGTGAAGGGTGTAAAGAGCCAGGAGAGGAGAGGAGCAAGGCAGCTGCACTCACAGTGCTAAGGGCAGAAAACCTGACACCAGGGAACTGCAAGGGCCTGTGCTGCTTTCTCCTTGTCCTTATGCTAAACAGGAAACTACAAAACAGGGCTGAAAGAAGCCACCCCTCTGTGGTAACGTTCAGACTGGACCGTCAGAAGACAACAGCGTTACCCCTCTACACTCTTGTACTAATACAGCCACTGTGTGACAAAATACAAAAACTGTTTGACAACTGTGGAAAATTCATTGATCCTTGTAGACTACACAAGTATGAACCTTTGTGTTTTTCTGGTTTTAATAAAAGAAATACCTGTTTCTGAAAGATGAAGTTCTCATAACCAGAAAAATCAAACTCTCCCTCTTTCTCTCCTTCTACCTGAGAATAAAGTCATTGATAAAAAACATCCTGAAAGCTTGAGACACAACTATTTTGTCATCTGTCCTGGAGAACAGAGCAAGGGGAAGAATACTTCATATTTCAGCATTTGGAGTTATTTAAACTATAATAAACACAATACAGTCCTTTAACATGCAGTTAACTGCTTATTTTAGTTTAGAAATAAAAGTCTGATGTTTTCATTCAATCCCAATTATAATGACCTTTGTATCTTTGCAGCTTTTTGAACCTGCACCTCTATATTATAAGATGACATAAATTAATGCTGGTCCAGTAAAAATTACCTATAGAGGAATATAAAGCAGGCAGTAGAAGACACCATTTAGTTCAAACATACAATGGGAAACCAGTAAATGTTTCCCTTTTTTACCTGTTTTCCAAGCATGCACAATAATCAGGGCAGACACGACGACCATTATATAAAACTCCTTTTATAAAAAATGTATTTTGTAGTAGATTGTTATTGAAGAAACACTATAATAAACCAAACAATCTCATAATGAGCTCCATTTTAAAAAGACTCCAGGATTTCACAACAATGAATCCAATACACACATTCCATCAATATTTCCTGTGGTTTTGACTAACACACAAAGCTACCCACACTTTTTGCAGTCCTTAGGTTGTTTGCCTCTCTGATGCTGAAGTAATCCACCCATTTTAGCCAAAAACCAAACAAATTTAAAAACTGACAACATCCTGACAAGAGTCCTTCCAAGCAACTCTCTGACAGCAACACCACCAAATCAAGTTAACTCTGTTGTAGACTGGGTACCTACATCTTATAAAGTTGATCCCAAAACTTAAAGAAAATCAACTACTTAATCGAGCAGTTACTATATTATTATTGCCATTGCCTAGAAGACACTCAAAAGATAGCAGGCATTAGGCTGACTTCTAATACAAAATCCTTTCCTTGTTGACCAAGTCACCTTATCCTTTCCAAGTGCAAAATACATTCAAACAACAGCTCACACAAACGAAGCAATGTCTTCTACAGTTAACTGGTCATGCCTTTACCCCCTTCCTCCATTTCCCATTTCCAATGACCCTGCTCTCTCCCTCGGTGCTCCCTTCTGGAGTACATGATGGTGTGTCATGCTCCTGCACAGCAGCAGAAAACAAGACATGGAAAACACTAGTTTTTCCTGGTTTAGAGACAAGATTTGTCCCCTCAATATTCTTGCCCAAAACCTGCATCTGACTGCTAGGAAAAGGCATCAGCACAAATAACAATCCTGCACTCTACACCCAGGCAGAGCTTCCAGCAACCAGGTGAGAGACAAGAGAGGATCAGATGCAGGCAGATCAATTCTAGCCTTCACTGCTTTATCCAATGTCTTGGGCACACCACAGAAACCCCTCCTGCTCAGCTACCCACCTGCAATGTGAAAATAGTATCGAGAAATTGGAAACATGAATTTTAAATCCTGCAGAAATAGAAAAATAATCATCAGGAACTAACCCTGTAACAAATTTACCAGATGCCGTGATGTGTTCTGCATCACTCAGGAATTTCTGTTTGCTCTGGATTAAATATTCTATAAGCATAAGGTTTATTTCTGCTAAAGGTTTGGAACTTGAAACATATTAACTCATGTTAACCCTACAGCCACTTGATCTAGAGCCAAATTCGATCACCACTCCCAGGTCTGATTCTGAAAGCACACAGCATCATTTAAGGCCAAACAAAGCATAATGCTCATTCAGCCCATCTTTAAAAGAACTTCATTGAAGTTCTGTGCATAATATATATTGCACTCTATCACATTCTAATAAGTACTTAAACCAATATTGAAAGCCCAAGTGATAGAAAAATGATCACTGAGCACTAGTGAGATCCTCACTACTTATGGTGCACAGCAAGCTCTCTATGTGGTCTGCAGCATTCCTAATCCAGTCAAACCATGACAGAAGGAGGAAATATCAGCATCAACTAGGCTAGCACAGCATGGCCATGCTTCACTTCCTACACCCATCAAAATCATCCTGGATATATTGTTACTAGTACCCCACATCCCTCTCCAGTGTGCCTCTGCTACTCTGGTTAGCCATTCCCAAACAACCTGCAGCTCCCAGCCTGCAGAGGATGTCAGTGTCAACCCCAAAACCCTGGGAGAGCTGCTGGACACACCAGATGCTTGTGCTGCCATTCAGAGGGACCTGGGCAGACTGGAGCACTGGACACATGGGGATCACGTGAAGTTCAATAAAATGTATAGCCGAGAACCACACAGAGAAGACCTGTCCACAAAAGTGGGGTATTTAGCAGATGCTTATTATCATTCACTTAAGTTTCTTTTCTTCCATGCTTTACAGGTATCACCAGACATTTTACCCATACCTGTGGGATCAAAAACTACCTTGTGGCAACCATTAGCTGTCCATTTAAATTGCCTTCAATTGCAGTTGTCTCCTCAGTTGCACCAACATGCAGAACTGACTCTACAGGCAAAACAGCTGTTGCTGCTCCCTCTCACCAAATGCTTTTAGCCTAGACAGGTCCTGCCTAGTCAGCCAGAAAAATCCTCTGAAGTGTCACATCATAGCACATGAAATTATTCTGTGCTGCTCGACATTCCAAATGCAAGACCTCACACTGAAAGGCTGCACAAATCCCCTCTTCCAGAGCTGGGAATAAAATCCTTACGTGACAAAAACATCCGAGCCATGCTACCACATTTCTATACTTAGTTCTCTGTCTCTAAAAATGTGTGAGCTGCCAAAACCAATCAGTTTTTCTGTATCTTCTGCTACCATTACCAGAAGGTAGCAGCTAATTCC